GTTCATGGGGTCACGAAGAGTCAGACATGACTTAACGACTGAACAACAATCCAAGCTTTTGAGTTTCCACAAATACTTCATCATGCAAAATCAGGAAAAATATTTGATGGAGAGCTTTTAGAAATTTTAAACTTCGCATGCTATTCTATAAATCCTTTATGAATAATAAAGGTATTGCTTTAATATGATTTGAGAACCCCAGCCTCCAAGGTCAACATGGCTACTTTGGCTTGATACTGAATTGAGAAAATAGTAATTTCAACTATTAAATTGGGATATCTTACACAAGAGCAGGAACTGAATCATCTGAGTTAATATTCCATCCCACTAGTAGGTAGCCCTAACTTTATTGACTCTTTTTATTTAGTACTTAATACTTTTTCCAGCTTTCTTAATGTTATCCACTTGATCTCCCTTTTACTTATTTTAGCTGCCGGGTTTAATACTTCCAAAATGAGGAAGCAACTTTCATTTTTTTTTCAAATATAATTTTTATTAACAATTGTAATTATAGTAGTAAAAACTAATACAAACTAAACTTAGAGAAAGAAGATAGAATGAAATAATAGAAAGTGCAAGAAAAAAGAAAAAGAAATAAGAAAGAGTATAATAAAGAAAATGAAAATAGTGACTTCCAATATGACACAAGTTTAAACAAATTTACTAACTCTTCACCCCCTATAAGGTTAAACAAATATCTCTTCCTCCCATATCCCATCCCTTAGCTATAAGCAAATCTATAAAACATAAACTTTTCAATCCTGGTGTCAGCAAAAACTCCATAAAGGGTTGCCAGAACATTGCAAAAAATGTCTTATTTTAACCTTGATCAAGTAAACCAACTTTACATTCCTTTCTTTTACTTCTAACAGTCTTAATATTTAATTCAATCAAATATTGTCATAGGATTTTATTTCTCTTCAAGTCTTCTTTATCCCATTGCACAGATTTTTTCACGGCTCTAACAAGCCTCTTTTGTAGATCCAATAAAAAAAATGTTTTCCAGGTCATTCTCTTGGTTTATCATTTGTATTTCCTTTTTAATTTTTAAAACTTTAGGCAGTTTTTTTTGTATATCCAGTAAAGTGTCCTTTTCCAAATCATTCTCTTGACCTGTCATTTGTAGTTCCACATTCTGTACTTTTTCTATCTTGTCAGATAAAATTTGTTCCACATCTGTCATTCCTTCATTTGTATCTTTTAGACACAGTCTATCCATAGAAGCAGACATCATTACTGACAGTGTTGATATTGTAATTACTAACTCCTGGCTCCATTCTTCAAAAATCTCCTTTAATATTTCTGTTATAATGTTTTGTGTCATTTTGTAAGTCCCAGTATTAATTGACATCAGGCATGTTTTTTTTTCTTCTGCTTAAAATCTTTAGTTCCCATCTAGAGTCCAGTTTCTAAAATCATCACTTATCTTTTGTTATGACTTGCAATAACCCGGATAGCCAAAATAAGTCTGTTTTCCACAAGAAGTTCTTTATTTTTTATAGTTAATTCCAAAATCTTATAGTAAAAGTCAATATTCCAAATTTATCTGGACCCTTAATCTAACTTTCGTAGATCAAAATCTTATTTAGCTTTTTGCTGTTTATTTCAGATTCTTTAAGTTCTTAAGCTTGTAATTTTTCTTTTGTTCAGAGTTGAAGATAAACTCACCAGATGAAGACTTGTCAAACCTGTCATTCTGAAGGTCTCTAATAGCTTTAAGATAGTTAATAGGCAATTTCTGAAAGTGATTGGAAAGTAACGTTTGTGAAGTTAGTATCCTTTAAAAGGGTCTGCCACGGTTACGAGCAAGATGGCTGACCCTGTCATCTCCCAGTGCTCAAACCCGCAGAAAACTGTTGTCCTGCAGTCTCCTCATGAGGAGCAGCCATATGGAGCACATATGGGTGATCTCCCATCCTCTCCTTATCTGGAGAGTTCCAAGGATCCAGTCTCCTCACCAGTTCCTTGGTCTTTGCCATGGTTGTCGGCTCTGCTTTTGCAGAGTTATCTTCAGTTCGCCATACCTCTCTCAGAAGTCCCAAAATTAGGAAGCAACTTTTGGTTTGCTCTTTCTTCCTAGAAAGCTTCAGTAGAGTTCTTGGGCAAATTAATGCAACTTCTTTCCTTGATAGATCCAATCTTCACAGATATGGACCACTTACAGAATCCATCTGAGACTATAGTTTTTTTTTTTCATTTCCTTTCTTTTCTGCTTTTTTAACTATCTTGTCTGATTAAAAAGTATCTGTCTTTCTCCAGGAAGATCTACCTACAGAAATTTGGGAAGGCACAGCAGCAGATGAACTATCCAATGGGAGGATGTGGTACTGTAGTCTGCATTCCAGAGTGAATCCCTGACATACAGTTGCTAAAGCATACCTGTCTGGACAGCATTTTCTTAAACCAGCTTAGAATCAAGCCAAGATGAACACAGGATAGGAACAGTGTAAATGAGAGGTGCAGGTATGCCCTAAGATGATCCAGCAGGAGAACTGTTATTTTACATTTTGTTCTTAAGTATTTTGGAGACTCAGAAGGAAAAAAACAGATTAAAAGGACAGTAACTTTGAAGATCAACAAGGATGCTCTGTCTTACTAACAGAAAAATGTTGCTACATTAAGTTAATTATTTTCTGCAGACTCGAGTCTTAACAAAATCAAATTTAACTAAATATATTTATTTAATAAACTTAAATTGGGTTTTATATAGTATAATAATATTCCTGAATGAAGATACTCTTATGTATTGAAATAAATGTTAATTTAAGAGTTTACTTTTGCCTTTTAAACCTATGCTGTATTACAAAATAAATATTACATTGCATTTTAAGAGTATAATTTGTAACAGAGTTTTCACTTAATTTGAATTTATTCTTTTTGTTGCAGGAAAATCCTATAGCTTTTAAAAACTCCTAATATGGAATGTACGTATCAACCACTACTGCTATTTTTCCAAATTAAAGTGCTCGTGCCATATTGCATTTTAAATCTTCAGACAACAGCACAGGTTGCAAAAGGAAAGATGAGACTTAAATTAGCAACACGACAAACAGAATTTTCCATTGAAGGTTATGGATGAATGAAGCCATGGGATACAACATATTGCTGCACTGAAATCTCACTAGTCTTATCTAGCTCAACACAGCCAAATAAAAGGTCTGACAAATGGGATGTCCAGAATGTTTCCATTGTTGTCACTGATACTCAATCAAAGAATACATGAAAACAGGCAGCTAAAACAATTATTGGGTCATTGTTCATTATTTCTTTTATAAAAGAGCAAACTATCAGAGGAAAGCAGCTAGTGAAACCATGACAATGAATGTCATGGCTTCACTCAAGATAGCAGAAGGTTAACTGTCATCTATTTTGAATTTAATGTGTTTTCAGCACTCAACAATTTTACTGATTGTATATTTTTTTTACACAATATTTATTTTTTCCACAATTACAAAGCATCTGATTAAAGGTATAAAACGTTTTTAAATATCCCAAATACAATACTGTAGACAAATAATACTGAAAGCAGGATGATATACTATAATGCTCATAACGCTTTCGAAGAGGTGATCTGATACATCTAATAAGTGCTATAACAGCTTTTGTTTCCTTCTGTTTGCATCTGAGGAAAATATTTTAATATATAAACAGTTGCATTTTATTAGATTTTTTTAAAATCCTGCCTTTATTATTTTTATAAATAACTCAAGGTAGCAAACATACCTCATACTCCTTCCTCCTCTTCTTTTCCCCACAACAACAACCCTGTGAAGTGGGTTGGGCTGAGAGAGAGTGACTGGCCCAAAGTCACCAGTCCAGCTTTCATGCCTAAGGTGGGACTAAAACTCACAGCATTTGCATCTATCCTTGTTTTGGCACAAATCAATATTCTGAAGACTGCCTTTTTTTTGCTAACTTCTGCACTTTTTGAAAAGGGGTATACAACCCTTTTCAGGCTGAAGGGTTTATCTGGCCTTTGAATAGCATGGTGAGAACTGCCTTGGGAGACCAGCAGGACAATGAACTAAGCAGGACTAGAACAAAAACCAAAATAGATTTCATTGTAATTCAATTAATTAAATAATATGTGTATTATTATTCCCTATGCATCTAATAATTTTCCCCTTGTCACATTACAAAATATAATTCAGCAACAGCTTTTTAATGGAGACAGTACCCTTATTTTTGGAGCCTGGAATGAAAGAACAGTACAATGGGAAAAAATTGTTCCATCAGTCATTGATAAGCAATTGGAATGAAATAACAGTAGACACTAATGGGCAGTTATAGAGTAGGCTTATAGAACTTCAGCTACTAATTGGAGGTTAAGAATAGTTACTAGATGTGTAAGACAAATCAATCTACTTACTCCTCTTGTAAAATAAACTCCACGTTTTCTGGGGAAAATTGACCAGTCACTGGATGTTTAAATGTTGTAGTTTGGTGGTTGTGGCTGAAAGGAAAATCAAAATCTAGTTCAATACCAATGTAAGCACAAATATCATAAAGTAACATTCTACAAAAATATTATTACATCTGAATGGCTTTTGCTTTGCATAGGTATGTTTCTTGCAATAAGCTAGAGAGATGAGATACCAGTAGTTTCTTGAATGTATTACAGATCTACTACTGTTTATTTAAGTCTGTAACAAGGATCCATTTGTTATGTTCCCACTTTTGATATTTAAGAAAACTAAGCAATGCGTATTTCCATATTCACTTTCAAATACACTGCTTTTGTTTTTAAAAGATTAAATTATTAACATTTGTATCTCCTAAATCTTTGTAGTTGCACTTGCTGCACCATGTGAGTGTCTTCACCCTATGGCTTCAGAGAATCCTCCCTTGTCCACAATTGGCCAGTAAATAAGGGCAAGACTTGGAGCAGCAGACAGTTCAGTGAGAGGGCAAAAAAGGCAAAGGCCACCATGCTGCAGGATGGAACAAACTGATGGGAGGGCAGGAAGAGCACCAGGCATCATAGTACCTTGACTGCTGGAGGGATAAGAAGGGCATATCTCAGAAGTACAAGGTAGGCCAAAGAGTGAATTCCTGCCAATGGGCAACCACCCCTTCCACAGTTCCAGTGAAAACACTGCAAAACACTCTATTTTTACTGTGTTTCTTCTGGAGCAATAGTTGAGCTGATTAACTTTCAAAATTAATTGGATCAGGACCAATGGAAACCCTGTGGCACTGCAGGGACATAGGAGTAGTTAAACCCATGTCTTGGACTTCATAAAGCAGATTTATATGAACAATGACAAGTACAGTCCCAGAGCACTTTAAAAAAGAAAGGAGACTTGCACACCATTCAGTTAAATTCACAATACACACTAACATTTACTGAGGAGAGGAAGCTCAAACTGGTCTCAGTGGGGGTTGCAAACTGCAACTGACAAGGTAGGAGAACTGAGAAGAACCCAAGATTGTATTTAAAACCCATTGTTTGTCTAAACTTCTTCAGAGAGGGGTCATCTTAAATTTGGAGTCATTTTCCTAATCATTGGATACAATACATAACATACAAATGAAGTCAGTGAGTTATTAGCTTGTCCTGCAATGTGGAGTTCTGGTGTTCTCTGAGCTTGATTGTTTCCTTGCAGAAGTTTCATGCATGGATGATGGTACCTAGTTGGGTAATGAAATGTACACAAGCAAACTACCAAGCTCAGAAAGCACCAAGAACTCTGCAGTTCAACCTTGAGCTACAGATACTCTCTTCTGTTGGATTCATCCTGCAGTCTTGCAGAAGCTCTGCCACTGTTCAATTCTTTAAAAGTCATTGCAGTTCCACTTCACAATCACATTTTCTTTGCTTACTTACAATCTTGTCAGAATTCCATATCACTGGCCACAGCTTGATTATTGGTAGTTTCTTGTGTATTTCTAGGGAGGCTTCAGAGATAACTGGACAGTTGCTATGTACACTAGGGAAGCTGCCACTGTTGCTGTATTTATGTATATTTGAATAAGTTTACTTTGCCACAATACTTGATGCGTGGGGAATAGAACACTAGCTTCTGTTGCTTTATAGAAAATATATGCACACCCGTGTGCATGTATACACAGACACACACACATACTGCATCACGTAATTTGAACAAATATTTAAACTGGCTGAAGTTCATTTGAACAAGACACGCTTAGTTATGGAGGTCAGCTGTTCTTTTCTACCAGTAAGCTGCCTTGACATTCTTTCTTTGCTACCTGGTTAATTATTCATGCGTGGCTCAAGGTTAACTGTGATTTTCTGAAGACTGGGCTCTAATCAGCTTGAGTACAACTATTCAGAGAAAAAGGTTTATAGCCGGCTGTGCATATCCATGTTTTGACAGGTTAACTCCTATGTGAACATAAAAGTCCTCATTTGTTTTTAATATATATTCCCACATCCCTTTCCTTTTATCTGTTAGTTAAAATGTGAGGTATCCATCTAAAACAAAGTTTCTGATTTATAAAAATGTACACAGAAATATGAAATGAGATTCATCATGCTGAATTCACAGAATTAAATACAAAGTGCTGCAAGTCTATTCATATAAAATATTGTAACATAAGTTGGTTATTTAGAATAATCAAATTTGAATGATTCTGAATTATGTATAACAATTGTCTAGGGCCAAGGTCTAACATTCTATTTTAAGCAAGTTCAATTGTTCGAATGGAAATTTTCTTTCTTCTAACATTTCTTCCTTTGAACAGCACACACCTATATTATATACTGTATGAATAATGATCAGTGTTCTTAGGTTTTTAGCTATTTGCACCAAGACCATATTCAGAATCCATATGGCCAGTTCTTTAACTTTTTCTTCACTGCAAACACAGAAACTGTGATATAAAAACTATTTATATCAATAAATAGAAGCCAAAACTGATTATGTTTAAACTTCCAATTCCAAATACATTTGTCTTTAAGGTGTCACAAGACTCTTCACTGTCTTCATTTCTGTTGAATAAAATAAACTCAGGCAAAACTGCTTCATCATTTTGGATTTAGCTTTCCAAAACCAACTTCTAACTTCTCATGTAATTTAAAAGCACACATTATTTATTATCATGCTACCTCTCCCCAAAAGCCCATGCTACTAGATTCTGAAATATTGCTCCTATACTTGCACGCAATAGTGATTACAAAAACACAATCCGATGTTTACATTTTATCATACTTATGTAACTATTATTTTAAACCCTTTATGCCTATCCATGCTAAAATGTGTGTAAAGCTAGCACTGCTAGCAAACATATATTTGGGGATTAGGAATTCAGGACCACCCAGCCATGCCTGACAAAATATATTAAAGATTCATTTTTAAGGTCCATTTGGGAAAGTGGCAGCTGAAAGCTAACAGTGTTGCTAGGTTTTGAATATTTTAAATACAATAACTATGGGGTATAAGTATTAGCAGCTGATCCCTGTTTGTAGCCTTTCAACTGCAGCTACAGAATTATGTCTTTATCTATCATAACAATAGGCTGCATACCAGTAATTTTGGTACTTCAAGGGGTCATTTGTTCTGGCTTGGAGCCTCATTCGTGAATATTCTAGGCAAATATTTACGTGGGCAAATATTATCTTAACTACATATGCTTAGGACACCACCTCTTTATTCTCTTCAATTCTTTTCTGAAGGGTGTAGATTAGCATCATTTGGTATGATTGCCTCATTTTCTGCATTCAGTCTTAGATAACTTATTTTCAGTGTTCTGTTTTTCACATTTTATTTTCTTTCCATTCTGTGCAATTCACTTCAGGTATGCACAGTGGTCACTCAAAAGGTATGCACACATACATATATGCACACACATACACATACACACTCACTGAAGGCCTCAGATGCCATGATGTATCTATATCTACAAAGATCGGAATAATGCAGACAATGGTTACTGGAGTTAGGAGGACACAATTTGAGGTTTGGGTGGCATGGTTATCTATGGTACAATAAAGCTAAGGTTAGTGTAGGTTTCAAAAACCACTTGTTAAACATGTCATATTGAGAATATTTAATAGATATAAACCCAGGTTGTGTCTGAAAACACCTTTGTGGCTTTCACCACAAGAAGCATATTATAGAAGAGAAGTGATAAGTAAACACAAATGGTTACCAGGGAAAATTCAAAATAAAATCAAGAGAAGATTTGACATTAGAAGGTTATACGTGTCAATGGTTTTCCTACGTACAATTATTAGAAAGATTTAAAGTAGACAAAAGGGCTTTTCATTTTGAATACTCTAAACCCGAATTTGAAACAGAATGATGTACAAATGATTAACTTATTGCTAAAATGTATAAACTTTTATTGAAATTTGAAACAGAAGAACAAGTGAAAGAACATATGATAAAATGGGCTAAAATTTTTGATTATAACATACAAATGGAACAATGGGAAAATACAGTATGTGGATGAAAGGATTGAAATTTACATTATCTTATAATCTTAAAGAGAATTTTTATAAAATGATGTATCGTTGGTATTTGTCACCGGGAAAATTGTCTAAAATGTATAAAGGTACTTCAGATTTATGCTGGAAATATGAACAAGAGGGGACTTTGTAACATGTTTGGTGTACGTGTAAAAAAGCTAGGAAATTTTGGATCCAAATATGTATACTAATTCAGAAGATTTTAAAGATTAATATACAACTGAAGCCAGAGGTGTTTCTTTTGGGACTGACTGAGAAAAAGTTGGAAAAAACTTGTGGAACTTTGTTTCTATATATGATAACTGCAGGTAGACTTTTAAATGCACAGTGGTGGAAAGATCTGACATTGTTCAAAATGGAAGAGTGGATGGTAAAAACGTTGGAGCTTGCTGAGATGGCTAAATTGACAACCCTGATTACAGAAAAGACACTAATTAAATTTAATGTTGACTGGAAACCCCTTTTGGACTTTTTGTGTGAAACAAACAAAAAAAAGAACTTATGATATATGGGTTTGAAGACTAGAAAAAATTGTAGACGATAGAAAAAATGGAAGTTATGTTGTAACCACAGAGTAAGAGTTTAATTTAAATTTATATACCTATAACTGTTGTAAAAGAAAATTGGAAGTCATTTCTTTATATTTCTTTTTTCTTTTTCTGCACTTTTGGCTTTGTTCTCTTTCTTTCTTTACTTTTTTTCCCTTTCCTTTATCTTAAATATTAGTTTCTGTTAGTTTTTATCTTTGTTTAAAAATCTAATAAAATTATTTAAAAAAGGGAAAATTACTAGATTTTAAAAGTGTACCCAAAATTAATTTATCAGGAGTATTGTTGTAGCAGTTGAAAGTTTCAGCTGAATTATTCACATAAATATGTGGGGTTTAGAAAGGCTATATTATTTATTATCAGTTTTCCATGGAAAGTGGATTAGGGATAGATACCTAGTCAATATGTTACTGATTTGTAGACCTACATAAAAAAAGACTCCAGAAATGAGATGGATTAATTTTTAAGGATTTTGTAACTGTTAAAGGAAGGATCTATGACTCATGGAAAAAAATACAACATATATTTATATATGTGTGTGTGTCTGTGTG